TTTTTGAATTAATCCTTGAATATCGTTAATTTGTAATGCGAACAATGGGTTTTGTGAAGTCCAATAATTCTCTTTGAGCCAATTTAAAGCCTAAATTACAAACGTAAATTAATTAACATATATATATATATATTTAAATATAAACGAATGATGATTCTTACCTGCCGAACCCCATTTCGCAAAATCGACAAACTCGGTAAAAGTTCATGTGTACCAGCATGCCTTAACTCGACAAACCATAATGGCAAATTGAGTTTTGTCGCCAATGTGGCAATTGATATTGCATAGACTCCTTGTTGTGCTGGATCCACCATTCCATTGACAAATCTAATTAATAAAATTATTAACTTATAATTGCGACAACAATATGTCATATTTGTGTGTATATAAAGACCTGATAAAGACCATAGAATATAACAGCCGAAGTTCATGCTCAGATATTCGATTCATGGAATGTTGTTTATTATTATAATAATTGTCACGCATTGATACTTCTACAAATGACGCGGTACTTATTATTGCGTGTGGTACTTGACCACGACTGGACCACGCTTTGACCTAAAGCAATTTTCACAGTGTTAAATGTACATGACAAATATATAACATGAAAGCAATATAAATACCCTTTTTACGCCCAACTCATGCAATTCCGCTGCTTCTGCATAAAGCCATTGATACACTTGTTCATATTCGTCTATTGAGGTCCAAGGAACAACTCGAGGAATTCGATACATGACGAACAAGTCGGAAAATTAATTTCTCGGTGCAACATAAAAAATTATAAATTCTTCGTGATCTCGAGTTTTGTAGATTTCTAAAAAAAAATCTATGTCAGCGGCAAAACCTTTTTTAAACCCAAACAAGTCGTTACCTTCTCCATTAACGCTCTATCGACAAATTTTACGCACGCATCGCCATCTACCAGCCGCACATCGAGCTTTAGGAGATGCATATGTGAAAGCGGAATTCAAAAGACACAAGGACATTGATAACCCGGTGCATATTGTGGGATTTATTGGACAATGGCAAGTTTATTTAGAGGACTTGAAGGAACAAGTGTGTGGGCAAAAAAAGGATAAAATAGATAGGATAATACCTAAAATAGGGAAAAAATTAGATTCGGATAGTCTGGAGAAATTTAATGAACAACAAATTGGACAATTGTACGAATTAATGAACGAAGCAAAGAACATTGGTGTGCAAAGTAATGATGATACCAGTCAAAAGACTAGCATTTGATTCGTTAAACTGAAATAATTTATTCCTCTTTTTTTTGCTTTTGCTTTAATGACGCGTACACATAAATTTTTGAATAATTATATACAAGGTAGTATTTATAATCAAATAAATACTCTCTATTCTTGGCTTATATGGGCATAGTTCCCATATAATGCCAAAAACCTCGATGTCCCGTAGCATAATCCCAAATATTTGCAATATTTTTAGTCATTGATTGTAATCCCCACAATCCAACGCGTTTCAGTTGTCGATTACGTTTTTGCGCATTCCTTGTAAGATTAGCAAATCCTTTACCAATCTCAGTTGAAAAGTCATCGACTAAACCACAATCATATAAAGTCCACGATCCATCAAAATCGCTCTATTTACAATAATTTTTTGCGTCGGTAAGTTTTGAGTATTGTCAATTGACAAATGAATAAATGAAATAAAACTTACCAATGGTTTTGCAATTGAACCCTGTATCGTTATGACTGTTTTATTGTTATTCATGTAAGCGACTATTGGTCTTATCAATGCAGAATTCATATAAGATAAATCTGGCGTCATTAATGGCACGCTAGCTTTGATATTATGAAATTTCATCTCAAAAGACATTGAAAGAAGAGGCGATGATGATTGAGATGATGATGAATCGTAATTATTCTTAGTCTCCTTATTTTGAGATTCACATTCAAGATTAACCCCATGATTGCGTACGAATGAGAATGCACGTTGTTGAACTACCACGTCATCGATTTTATCCACAATATCATTGACTATTTTTGTAATGGGATCGTTATCGGGTTCAATTGGAAACATTACATCTACGCGAATATCCGCTGTACCGGATGTAATCCAACCAAAAGGACCAGCAACCCCATTGTTGAGATGATCAATATTTAGACCATCAATTCGAAATGAAGACTGAACATGATATCAATATTCGTTAGAGAAATAATTAAAAAAAAAACGCGTCAAATGAATCAGAATGCATTCGAATTTTTACCTTTTTCTTAATATTGGAGGCTTTTAAATCTTGATCGGTGGTAGTTTTTTGCATTTGTGGCCGATGAACGCTAAACAAGCAATTATCAAACATCCCAACAATATTTTCCGCACTTAAGATATCGTATAAGAGCCATTGTTTTCTAAGTTGTCGAAGATCAGCCGTGAAGATAGAAACATTGTATGGGCGAAAGCTTTCTGGTTGATAAACAGTGATTAATAAATCTTCTACTAGAAATGATTCAAGTTCGAAATCTCCATTCTGTGGCTTTCGGCGCCACTCTGATGGAATATAAGGAATAGATGGATCCCAATATACATTGCTACGATCTAATTAATTGAGAAAGAAACATTATTGGTGGTAACTATCAATGCTAAATATATCTGTATATAGAGGGTATTTATTACCTATCACGCCACGGATACCCTTCATCGTTGCCTTTTTTACTAAACCTTTGCCTATAAATAATGAAATAATAAAAAACAAGATCAAAATAAATACACACGTATTTATCTTCAAATTTCACGAATTCTTACCATCCCACCACCTCACAAAAGATAATTCAACATCAATCATTTCAATGGTCAAATCAAACATTGAAAAATTTGTATCAATCTCCTCCTCCGATTCTGCAAATGCGAGATGACTCGGAAGTTGATAATCTTTCGTTGGAAGTCTTTTTACAGAAACATTCTTTAATCTAATTTTGCCGTCTTTCCAATGTGGTACAATGGCAGACTCAAATATTACCGTAATTCCAGTTTCTCTAGTAAGATAATTTCCGATCTGTCTCGCAATGAATTCTTTAAAATAAATGATAATTAAAGAATGATGATAGAATCCTAATATTGAATATTAGTGAGGAAAGCTTGCCTACCTTGAAATTGGAGAGTGTTAGCCGTTGCTAATATAAGACTAACAAATGTCGTAGTCCCAATCACTATAAACAATGTATTACCCACAAACACCCAAGAAAACAAAGCCATGATGTCTTCCATTGTAAAAGGACGGACTTGTCTCATTAACAGAAGCTTGATTCGAATCATTATACGATCAAAAAAACCATTAGCATTTGCGAGCAGTTCCTCTTTGGTAGGACGTGTCTCGATATTTTCCGCAGTCAAATATAATCGACGCGTTACAAAAAATGTTCTTTTGCATCGCGACACTATTAAGGAAGATGATGGTGTCGAGATGAACCGCGATGACATTAACAATATCTTGTCGTTTTTGCATGACACGTGATTATTAAATAACATGGATCTATATCCATTTTTCAAAATGTTAGTTTGTAGAGGGGCTTTTTTAATTTTTTCTTTTAATAATGTGTAGGAAGGAGAGGAACTACATGGTTTCATGAAATTACACTTTTTTGATATGGATGTAGTTCCTGAACTGCTTAGCCAAAATTCGGCAGAAGTATTCACTGCTGCGGTTTCTCCCCCATATGGTACAGAGCTATATACAAACAAGCTAGGTGCAAGTCCTTTGGTGAATACTTTTTGGGACTTAAAAGTGTTTACTACAAATTCTTGGGGTAAAACCGAATAAAAGCAAGAAGATAAGGTAGAATACGATTTTAGCCTAAGTGGGAAACCATATAATAAATGATGGTGAAACCCACCAGTTCGAGCAAAATAAAAAATAAACTTCATTTAACGTGTTTAACACAAAGAAGTGAGGTGGAGACATATGATGATGAACGAACCGACAGTCATCATTCAGAAAAATGTAAAATCCCAAATTTCTATTGCTATATTTAGATTGCATCAAAGATTATAGACCACGTGAGGTCTGCTGACATCTTGGAAAAATTTTTGCCAATGATCTGATTCTCGCGCAAATGATTGGGCGTCGATTTTTATTGGTAATATAATATGATTTTCTCCACTTTCCTTCAAAACAACAAGAATAAATATATTATATAACTTATATTAATTAAGATATATAAAAAAACTTTTAAAATTTCAAACAGATTAATATATAGTATATCTTATCAACTTTTACTAGTAATATATAAATAAAAATTATAATAATTTACTTATTAGTATCTAATTTTAGAAGTAATTATATATTCAAGTAATTTATTATATATTATTATCAGTAAATTTAATAGATATTAGATCAATAATAATTAGTAAATATGCTAATTATTGCTAATTTTTTGGTTATACAAATCTAAAATTTGCATAAAACTCTGAAAATAAAAATTTTAGAAAAGTATAATTCAAAAAAACTATAATAATTAGTATAATTACAGATTATTATAGTTCTTTAAATATAAATTAAATAGATAAATAATAAATAAATTAATTATATACATTATTATTTATTTTTTTTCTTTGAAATTTACAATAAATATAAATTTAACTTTAAAATTCTTTGTCTATTAGTTTTTTTAAAATATATATTTATTTAATAAAAAAAGATTTTTTTTATCAAATCTCAGTATAATATATATCTCTTGATTTATAAATTCTATTAGAATTATATTATATTCTTTAATATAATATAAATAAAGATAATTATACTTTTTTGACTTATTTAGTATAATATAATATCAACAAATTATAGTAAGATTATATAAGTTCTTTACTAATCCTCAAAAAAAATTATAGAAAGAGCAGTATCTTTTAAAAGAAAATATAAAGATTAATTTATTCAAAATTATTAAATTTGAAATTATATTTACTATTCTTCAAGTTATATTTATCTTTTCATATCAAGCATCTTCATTTGATCTATAATAACTTTAATCTTCAGTTGAAATTACTGTAATATTACTGAACTACTTTTTGTTATAAAAATTTTCAGATATTTTCAGAATTTTACTACTTTTTAAATGAATCATGTCATAAATTTTTATATAAAAATTTTTACTTTTAGACTCTTGTGATAATATATCAAGAAATATATCTAACATAGTAATTATATATGATAATTCTTTAATAAAGTTTGAATATGATAAACTTTCTAAATTTTTTAATAAAATTACTTTTACTTCAATAGTATTCAAAAATAATTTCTATAATATCTTGTCAAATTCTATAATTTTACAATAAATTATCTTATTTATTATTAGAACTAATTTTTTATACTTTATCTATAAGTATAATTTAGAATTTATAACAAATTAATCATAATTAACATACTTAACTTACTACA